ATTTTAGAGAATGCAACGGAAGACTCCTCTACTAGCTTCCCTAAGTATTATTGGTAATTCGCAAAAATAAGAAAAAGTAATCTTATGGGGGGCATGGTTCATCCTAAACGGATATGGCTTAAAAAATCGTCATATATATATATATATATATATATATATATATATAGTTTCACAGCTATACGCACGCATGCATACACATTCGCAAATATAGTCGCATCTATACACACACGCGCGCATGCATATAAATAGTCGCATCTACCCACACGCGAATTTCCTACTTTGAATATTGGCGCAACACGTTCTTCATCTATCATCCGAAACAGATCAAGCCAACCTTAAAAACCTATATTTTATACACGCTTATACAAATAGGTTTTTACTAAGCTTATCAGTCTTTTACAAAGTCACAACTATAGGCCACCTAGAGAGAATCAAACTCACTACTGTAGTAATTGTCCGTAAGATTAGATTTCTAAACATTATTCCAAAAATTATGTGTATATTGGTAGACTGAGAAGCGACCAAAATGTTTCTAAAAATGTTTTATTTAGTAAGCTGTTTTTAGTAGAATTTCGTAAAAATGGGGACATTATCAAGGATCGAACTCCGCCACCAATAGCAGCAGGCTATGAGACTAGATTGTTTACTAAATGGAGGGCCGGGTTCGAATTTCAGTTGACTTCGTTAGATTCACTTAATGCATAAATATCTTTGCGAAAACTATGAATTCATCTCTTCTCCCCATCTGTGGATTAAATAGTGGAATTGTATCAATGGTATTCTCTAAATTTGTTATAATGCAATATTCATTCGCTAAAGAATTATCTTTACAATCCGGAATATGTTTTGGCTTTAAATAACCCAAAAGGTGTTGGTAATCTGTAAAAAATTCAATCAATCCATAAATAGAGCGTTTTTCACTATTTCTATTTATTGTCAGAAAGATTGTAATAGAGATATATCGTGTCTCAGACTGTAATTTTGTTTAAACGTTCACCAACACACGTTTGAAAGACCAGTATCCCCGAAGTGCTTCAAAAACCTGATCTTGTACCAGACTTATCTTAAATCCCAAAATATCTATACTTATATAAAAACCAGTACGTGATATGCGGATAGAGTTGTGATCAGATCACTTTTCCCTTGTGATTGACTCGCGTTTGGACGCGTAGCTGAGGATCTCTGGTCAAGCAAGCTGGCGTGCTTTTACTATTTATTCGGAGCTTAGCTGTACGTGTTGATCCGTCAGTCTTGCCTCGAGGTCAGTGTATTGTCCTGAGAGTCCAGAGCAAGAGACGTAGTTTGACCGAAAGGTCTCCGGAATGGACTGGCGCCAGTGCAGGTGGTATGGCATTATCCGAACCGACTGGCTGATTATATTGATTTTAGAAAACACAACTACAAAGTTCTTCCAATCGGGAATACACTAGTCGACAAAAAAAAATGAATTTCAATAAAAACATTACTGTATGGAAATAAGAGAAGAGGACGAAATGGTTCGTGATTTCAATACACCTGTGTGTCAACCACCCACCCAAAAGATTTACTGTCATCTGAGATGGCTAACAACAAACATCATATTATAATTTTGCTTGCTCGGTCATTGATTAGTAAGTTAGTACATACGTTACGCCCTGCCATTACCTGAAATAAATAATGGACATTCCATTTTGATATAAAAAAAAAAAAAACTGAATAAAAAGATATATCAGAAATGCTGTTTGGTTTTAGTGATAAAAAAAAAAAGAAAGAAATTTTAATTTGGTTTGGTTGATTTGTTTTACGGCATATCAATCTCAATGGTTATTTAATACTGACAAGATTATTATTCCTGGTAATTGTTTTTCCAAAATGTATTGCTGGTAAAAAAATTTTTCCAAAATGCATTGCTAGTAAATTTTTTTCAAAAATGTATTGCTGGTAATAATTTCTTCTTCGGAAATTCATTGCCGGTAATATTTTTACGAAAATGTATTGCTGGTATTAAAACCAATTTTACACTTTTATAGTGTTTTGACCCCAGTTTGGGGGTTAACTATTGATCCATAACTGAAACCCTAATAGGTGCTACCACCCTAGGTCAGGGTCGACCTGGGAACACCAGCAATTAAGAGGTGGTTCCACACTCCTCAAAACCTCCTGATCAGAGGCCCTGCTGTTGGACGAAGTTTATCGTCTTACCCAGGATTCAGATGTAGTTTAACATCATACCCAGGATGGGAAAGTTTGATTTAGTTGTTTTTCTTTAGCGACATATCAACACCACTAGGTCTTCTTCTTCTTCTTCTTCTTCTTCTTCTTCTTCTTCTTCTTCTTCTTCTTCTTCTTCTTCTTCTTCCCCAACTATAGGTTAATTAGTAAGACTCTTATAACTAAACCCATTATTATGCCCCCATCAAAATTCTTACATTCTCATACTAATTTTTTCTGGCTTTAAATAACCTGCAAAGGGTTGATAATCCGTAGAAAACGAATCAACCAGTAACCAAATCATAAAAGTGTTTTGTTAGTAATTTTACTATAAAAATGTATTGTTGGTAATTTCAGTATAAAAATGTATTTTAGGTAATGTTAATATAAATAATGTTTTGTCGGTAATGTTACTATAAAATATATTGTAGGTAATTTTTCTATAAAATGTATTGTAGGTAATTTTACTATAAAATGTATTGTAAGTAACGTTGTTATAAAAATGTATTGTAGGTAATGTTACTATAAAATGGATTGTAGGTAATTTTACTTCAAAAATGCATTGTAGGTAATGTTACTATAAAATGGATTGTTGGAAATTTTATTATAAAAATGTATTGTAGGTAACGTTACTATAAATGTATTGTAGGTAACGTTACTATAAATGTATTGTAGGTAATGTTACTCTAAAAATGTATTGCTGGTAATTTTACTATAAAAATGTATTGTAGGTTTTGTTACTATAAAACGTATTCCAGATGATGTTACTATAAAATGTATTGTTGGTAATTTTACTATAGAATTTTATTTTTGGTAAAAAATTTTATAGAAAAATGTATTGCTTGTAATTTCACTACAAAAATATATTGTTGATAATTTTTATAAAAATATGTTGCTGCTATTTTTACTATAAAAATGTATTTTTATACTTTCATAGTGTTTTGTTTGGGGATTCACCATAGCTGGGTCGATAACAGGTTCTACCACTCCGAGTGAGGTAGACCTGCAGCAAAAGGTAATTAAAGGGTGGTTCCACGCTCCAATCTCTCAATCAAAAGCCTTGCAGCCGGATATAATTTATCGTCATAGCCAGGACCAACAGAAAGAAAGAAAATGGAAGCGATAATGCTCGCATGCTCTTAACATCTGTTTCAGTGAAATAGAAAACATTTTTGATTTTTTTTTAATTTTTTTTTTTTGTATCCACTTGTTTCTTTATTGCGTTCATACTTATTATTGTTATTGCAATATTTAGTAAAAGTTCTTCTCGATCATACCGGCCGAGAGAGACGATTTGTATTGAGGAATGCCAAAAAATTATACCACGTATTGACCTAAGCCCGGCGAATAAAACTGAATTGATGAACGCAGCAGATTATGTGCGTTCTCCCAGAAACTCCAACTAAAGTCCACTCAACATGGCTGCAGGTATAAACCGCAGGTTGTCTTTTTTGGCGTCCAAGAAAGACAACTGCGTCTCAGCGAGCGTCTGTAACAGAATAACCATAGATTGCGAAACTGATGCACTTTCATCATGGGTGGAAAATTCTAATAAGCCTGCCTAGAAAGAATCGAAATTCTAAAGATAATTCAAATCAAACCTTCAGACTATCACAAAACATGGGACATTTTTTGTTAATAAATGTCTCAATAATTGGAATCCGTTTGCATGTATGAATTCTTTCGGGATACTTGTTAGGATTTGATAGTATAGAGCTTCCGACTTGAAAATAACATACTATCCTATTCCAAAGTTCGCGGGATTTTGTAAGTTAGGCTGCAAAACGTAGACATCGAAGAAGGTAAGAATTATGGGTTTGTTTCAAAGTAAAATTTCCCAATCTTTTGGGTAAAACATAATGAAGATAGATAGATAGATAGATAGATAGATAGATAGATAGATAGATAGATAGATAGATATGATCAAACTGGAATACAGACAAATAGATAGATAGATAGATAGATAGATAGATAGATAGATAGATATGAACAAATTGGAATATAGATAGATAGATAGATAGATAGATAGATAGATAGATAGATATGAAGACACGCAGATAAACACATATGAACAAATAAGAACAGTGACAGAAGAATAGATGTATATATTTGCACATTATGATACCTAACTAGAAAGAAAGAAAGTAGACACTAATAAATACATCGTGACCAATGAGAAGAAAATATATATATGTGTGTGTGTGTGTACATATTATGAAAACTAACTAACTAGATAGATAGATAGATAGATAGATAGATAGATAGATAGATAGATAGATAGATACTGAGAAAGAACTAAAAAAGTTAGATACTGAGGAAGAAGGAAAAATTATAGATAGATAGATAGATAGATAGATCCGACTATCCATCTATCTGCACTAAAGATGTATCGGAATACAAGTAACAATAATAATAAAAGAAAAGTATTGAATATTTAGGGAGCCAGAATAAAAAAGATAGAAAGAAAGAAACTAGAAAGAAAGAAAAAATAGAAGAAAAGTAAACTGGAGGAAATCTTGAGCGAGAAGCAACACAGATGAAGAAAGAAGATAGAAGCAGAAAATTAAATAATCTTTATCATCTTCACCGCCACCACCATCATCATCATCACTATAAACAATAATCTCAATAAGGACACAAGCAAGAAAAGTGAAACCCGAGGGTTGAATGGGCAAAATCTGGTTTAGCTCCATCGTCCAGAGGGCGACAATCAGCTATGTAAAAAAAAAAAAAGAAGGTAAAAAAAAAAGAAAAAAGCATTGTCCAATCGGACGAGAATCTTTTGTTAGATCGAGTGCCTTTTAGCTGTGATGTCGTGTCTGCTCATTTCCAAGCGAAGCAACATCTTACCCGGGTGGTGTTTTTCAATTCACATCAATTGCCCTTGGACAAGACAAGCAACTTGTGCCATGAAATCTTTCCAAGCGAAATGAAAGTTTGCGAGAGGAAGTAGAAAAATCACACCGGAATACACAGCATGGCCATTTGGTGTCAGCAGATATTCACTTTGAATACGATTGCATCTTAGCAGCATCTATCTAAGCATCAGTCTTTCTTTCTTTCTTTCTTTCCTTCATTCTTTCTTTCTTTCTTTCTATCTTTGCTTCGATCTTTTTCGGTATCTATCTATATATTTATCCATCTATCTATTTATGTTCTATTCTTTCTCAGTATCAAACATTCCATTTAACCATGTATCTATTTATGTTTTTCTATCTATCTAGCTAGCGAGCTAGCTAGCTAGCCAGCTAGCTAGCTAGCTAGATAGATAGATAGATAGATGTCCTAATGTGTACATATATTTACCTATTGTTCTGTCACTGTTCTCATTAGTCTATTTGCATTTATCTGAGTGTCGTCTATCTATCTATCTATCTATCTATATATCTATCTCTCTATCTATATATATAATACCGTTCATATGTATTTATCTATATAGCTAGTATAAATATTTATATCACTTCATTTGTTCAATATCTATTATATCTATATTTATATATCTATATTCATAGGATTCTGTTCACATATGTATGTATATATATATATGAAAAGAGCTATATATATATATATATATATATATATATATATATATATATATATATATATATAGAATATAAACAGAGATGGGAAAAAAAGATGATTATGATCAGAATTAAATCGATATATATATATATATATCGATCTCATTCTGATCATAATTATTTATCCTTCCGATTTCTGTCTATATCTATCTATCCTTCTCATTCTTTTAATATTTAGCAACCGACTTATGCCATTCTGTTCAGTATCTCGATATCTTAATTTATCTATCTCACCAGGCTCATATCTATCTATCTATCTATCTATCTATCTATCTATCTATCTATCTATCTATCTATCTCTCTTTGTCTCTCTCTCTCTCTCTCTCTCTCTATATATATATATATATATATATATATATATCTTTCTATGTCATTTTACTCGTATCTATCCATCTAGCTAAATCTGTTATTGTCTATCTATTACTTCATGCGTATTTATCAATTCTCTTCATATATAGTTTTGCTCATTTTTGCTCAGTAAATGTACAAATCCCTATTGATCAGACGTTTATTCTTTTTATTTATTCTTTTTTTTTCTTTTCTTTAATGCACTGAACAGCGTTTCTGAAATTTCTCTTTCGAAAATCTCCATCTATCTATCTATCTATCTATCTCTTTTCCCTGTCTTCGTTTACTCCTTTTATATATCTTTTGATACTCAAACAATTCTTTTTATCCTCATCCTATCACCATTCCAATTCTTCTCCCTATGATTTTCCTGTCCTTGCCGCTTGCAACCTCCTTACAATTTATAATACACCTCATACACGTCATTCTCTTCCTAACACTCTCCACCCCCTACTTTCAGCTTATTTTCACCCTCGTTATTTTTATGCACCTTCCTCTTCCTACCTCTCTCCACCTCCTACTTGCGTATCTCTCTTCAGCTCCTCCTTCTCTTCTCACATTAATACCTTCTTCTCTCTACACCCTCTCTATATATAAATATATCTCTACAGCTCCTCCCACCTCTTCTATCTTCTGGCAATTATACACTTTCCTCTCACCGCCACCTACTTGCTTCAGCTCCTACAACCCCTTTTATCTTACTACATTTATATGCAAGTTCTTCTTCTTAAGACACTTCACCACCTACCTCCGTATTTCTCCTCAACTACTCCCATCACTTTTAGCTTCATACCTGTACACATATTGTCCTCTTCCTTCGCCTCTCAACCTCCTACTTACGTAGCTCCTCCCACCATTGTCTTCCTACATTTTTATTGTTCCTCCTTTTCTTCCTACTTCTCATTAAACACCGACTTTCTTCCTCTTATTTCTATCTTCTAATCAAATCGCTCTCTTTTTACTCCCTCGTCCTTCTACCTTTTCTCTCTCCTCCCACTTTATTCCAACTTGCCATCTCCCAGTCTGCTCAACATACACCCGACCTTCCTTCATCTCAACTCTCTTCCTTGACCATCCTCTGTTTTTCATCCCCCACCTGTCTTTTTACTCATCCCATCACTCCCGTTCATTGGTCTTTCTTTCATTCGTTATCTCTCTTACTCAATCTCTCTCTTACTTGCCCACCTACTTACGTACTTTTTTCTACTCTTACAACTACTCTTATTCTCCTCCTACTTATGGCCATTCTTACCGTCCTCTTCATGCCCCTCCTACGTATCCTTCTTACTCTTCCCCCTCAAACATGTACCTTCTTTTCTCAACCTTGTCAGCGTTCTATCCTGCGTATCTTTCGTCCTCCTTTTACCACTCCCACTCATCTTCATTTTTCCCCCCTCTTCCCATTCCTATTTCTAATCCTCCTACTTTTGCGTTATCCTTTATTCACTACTACTTACGCCCTTTTTTGTATATATCTTTATCATCCAGTGCTTTTCATCTGATTTTTCTTCCCTTTACTACACCTCTCCTCCCACCCTTGCGTTTCCTCCTCTTCTCCTCTACCTACTACTCTCATCCTTCCGCTCTTTGTGTTTCTATTTTTTTTTCTCTCCTCTTGCCCCACTCATCGATATACGTACCTTTGAATTTCAAATACCCAAGTCGGGATGGTTATTTTCTTTTTTTTAAAAAAAAAAATCCACATGCCAACCGCTGCTTTTATTAACTATAAAGAAAATTTCCTTCTATCCATTAATTTTTGCTGCGCGCTTTCTGGAACAAAAATTATTAAAGACACAGCTAAAATGGTGGAAAATGGGAGAAAAAATTTGTGTTAAGTTAATCTTAAAAGTGAGAGCGCGGGTCGTTTCGCAGCCCTTCTAGAAAATAGGCATTCGACGTTCAAGTTTTGATCTTGGCTCAAATGCCAGCTATCAGCATCGTCTTGCCCCTCTGATCGTCTGCAAAATCCTTTATTTTATCAGTAATGCACCTAGTGTGTTTTTTTTGTGGGGGGCGAGTTTTAAATAGTCGAAGGTAAAGAGTTTAAATATTTTTATACTAATGCATTTATGTAAATTCTAAAACTCAGTTTGGGATAACGAAGACACGTTCCCAGATTAGAAAAGGTAAAAAAATAAAAAGGAACAATTGCTTTTTTATGACTGACAATAAAAGATTTTTTTTTCTTATTTACACTATTTGCATTCAGAATATCGTCATCTTTGTTGCTGTTATCCCAGCGTTTCGACCCTCCGACCTTCATCAGGTGTATGTCGATCTGGGTAACCTACAGGGATTTCTGAACTGAACCCTTTATTTAATTCACAAGGATGAACTGTTCTCGTTCCACTGTCCATGTGATATTTCGTCTCATTCTTATTTTTAGTAATGTTCAGTTATTGCTCGCGTTGTTTTCACTGAATCCAAGCATGCATTACCCGACACAAGGATTGAACTCACAATTACTATGTTACTAAATTCACGAACCAAAGATTTAATCTACTGAGGTTTTTGTCCCGTATAAATTCGCTTAGAATTTATCTTGACCAATACGTGTAATGTAAACTGAATTAAAAAAGTATCAAGCGCTTAAAATGTGACCTATTAATGAATTTTAAGAATTAGTACACTAAAATTAGTTCCCGTCATTCTCAGAGGGTGGACAAATGATTTTCTGGTTGAGGCAGACACCCTCCCGCCCATTCTTAGCGAATGGCTTGGATGCACTAATTTACACACTCAGTTTTAATAAGAATTCCTTAGAAACAGAATTTCAAGTCTTGAGGACTTTTATTTTTTTTTAAAGAAGCAAAGCATTATTACAATGATAACGCATAGATTTTAAACTCAGTAACAAGAATCATCAGTTGTACGAAGCCCGTCACCAAGGGGTGGGGGAGTAGCTGCCCCCTGAGAAAATCATTTCCCCTAGGAGGCCCGTCACCAAGATGTGGGGTAGTAGCTGCTACCTGAGAAAATTATTTCCCCTAGGAGGCCCGTCACCGAGAGGAGGGGTAGCTGCCTCCTCAGAAAATCATTTCCTCTACGAATCCCGTCACCGAGGAGAGCGGGTAGCTGTCCCCTCAGAAAATCATTTCCTCCTTTTACTTGTTTTTCTCCCTCATTTTACGCCCCTTTTCTTCCCTTTACACTTTTTACAATTATTATTATTATTATTATTATTATTATTATTATTGTTGTTGTTGTTGTTGTTTTATTTTCTTTGATTTCTGGTATATACTCATTTCTTTCTGGGTCCCGACCAGAGACCTAAGGTCAGAAATGTCATCATGACATTTTCCACTGAGTAGTTTTGAAAAATAAATCGCACATGTTTTACATTTTACTTCGTAAGGTGTGTGCTGTTTTTGTGAGTACAACTTTTGTATTTCTTTAAAGCATAGACTACCAGGGATTCCTTCAATGAGTCCATCGGACCCTTTTCCAATCAATCTGAGGGCTCCAACTACAACTGAATTTGTTAATGTCATCATGTGCCACATTTTTTAGATTTGGATTTCAAGGTCCTTGTATTTTGATAGATGTTTAAAGATCTTCAAAGTTACATTGCAGTCTGCGAGGACTTTCATGTCAACAAGGAAGCACATTTTATTTTAGCGGTCTCTAATCACGATGTCAGGGTGATTAGATTTTGATTGTTCTGTCAGTGTGTATTGTAAAGTCACATAAAATTGTTACAGGTCCTATTCTCTGTAACCGGATCTAGGTGATGTTCATATCAATTTCTTGCAGTTTCCTTTCTGTAAGCGTTGCAGATTTTCCAGTGCAGATATTGGCCGATTCTGTCGTGCCATGTTTTATATTCAGTGAGTGCCAATACTGCGGAACCTCATACAAGACAGTCAATTTTTTCTGGATATTTTTCACAGAATCTGCATTTTGGACTACCACAATTTTTCAGTATGTGTGCTTGGTAATTTCTAGTTAGCACGCATTGGTCGTGTGCAGCAAGAATAAAACCTTCAGTTTCAGCTTTTAACCCTGCACTATATGTACACAAACACAAGCTGATGTAGACAAACCACGTACCCATCAGGGTACGTGTTTTGTCTACATCAGTGTCTTAGGTAAGGGCAGACTATTGACCGTGAAACAGTTTATGTTACCATCGTTTCTGTATCTGGCCTGTTGCTTTTGCTTTCGCTTTAAAGTATTTTGCAGCTTCAGTCTGTGTATTCTGCTTTTTTTGCGATGCCAACGAACACTCGTTGCCACTTTCGTGATGCTCGTTGTAGTAGAGCCTTTGTAATCGCAGATACAACTATAGTAACGCCGTTGAACAATGCTGATGTCACACACCTTCGAATATCCCTCGCACTAATAGTACTTGCTCGATAATACTCGCTCGAATAGTAATCTGTATAGTCATCTGAATAGAGAATAGTGTAGAGAAGAGAGTAGAGAATAGCGGTCCATATAGTAACCTAGAAGAAATAGAGATCCGATAGTAATAGACGATAGAATAGGAAAATGATTTATTAGACACACGCTATCTTCCATATATGTTTCCTCTATGCTCACGGGGTTTACTCAATTCAATAATGGTATCGCCTGTGTTTGTTCACTGGGGATCTATGTTCAAACTCAAGTGTCGGTAGCGGCCCTTTATTCCTATATAACAATGCTTTACTTGTATTTATTTATTTATTATTATTATTATTATTATTGCTTGTTCACTTACTTGCTTACTTACTGTCACATCACGTTGAAGCACCGGTTCCCGTCTGTTACCCAAGTTAAGCAACGTCAAGCCTGGTCAGTAGTATGGTTGACCACTTGGGTTGGATATGTGAGTAGTATAATGGATAATGGCTCGTAATTATTAATTGGAGATCTGAGTTCCAATTCAAGTTGGGTTCGTTATATTCATTTACGCGTAAATACCCTTTTGAAAGGCATGAACCCACCTCCCCTCTCACCAGATGTGGGTAAATTAGTAAGATTTGTAACCTAAAAACTTTTTTTTTTTAATTCTTGCAATCTAATAATATTTTCTGGCTTAAATAACCTGTAAGTGGTTGATAAACCGTAAAACAATCAATCAAATCATTATTAAATTCAATTATAAATACCTTATATCCGATTCTTTTTATTTATTTCTAATTCATTATTTTTTATTTCTTAATTTTAATTTTTAAATTTGTTATATTTTCTATATATTATTTTTCTATTACTTTTTTATTTAATTTTTTAAAAATCCAGAGATAGATATGCAATGTGGTTGGCCCTGATCTGGCATCTCGTCTACAGTCGCTCTCTCACAGATGTGCCGTCGCCTCCCTCTGTCTTTTCTACAAATACTTTCACGGTAACTGGTCCGACGAGTAACTTTCGCTAGCTCCCAAAATGCATGAATTTAAACATGTTACTTGGTCAGCATCTCAGTCCCACCCTTTCACTGTCGAAATGGTTAAATGTGGCCGTCTCTTCTACTCCAATAGCTTCATGTTTCGCACTTCCCGGCTGCGGAATTCTGTTCCTATTATATGTTTCCCTGATAGCTATAATCTCCAACTATTCAAATGAAATGTCAATCGACATCTCCAGATGTCCTGAACTATTCCCTGTCCTTCTCTTCATCCTATGCTCTTTCACACCTCTTTACTCTTGCACCCACACTCTGAAACTCCTTACATGTCAATGGCACTCCCGCCTTGCTTGGGGTGAAAAGCTTAAAAAAAATATATTTTTGGTAATATTCTCTGCTGTGCTTCGATAAGTTCACTTTTACTGCTACTTAATTTTCTCTCAATTACAGAAATTTGCATTTTGCCTTGACTTCCAGCCCAACAACCCCCACCCCCCGACCCGGGTCCTGGGTAAGAAGATAAACTACATCCAACAGCAAGGTCTCTGTACAGGAGATTTTGAGGAGAGTGGAACCACCTCTTAATTGCTGGTGTTCCCAGACCCAACCTCACCCGGGATGGTAGCACCTGTCAGCGTCACAGATATGGGCAAATAGTTAACCCCCAAACTGGGTTCAAAACACTATGAAAGTGTAAAAATAGATTTTAATACCATCAATACATATTTGTCAAAAATTATTACCAGATATGATTTTTTTCAGAAAAATATTACTTGAAATACATTATTACCAGTAATACATTTTTGAAGGCAAAAATATTAACAGCAATATATTTTTGAAAAAAATGTTACCAGCAAAAAAATCTTGTTGGCATTAAATAACAGATTGAGGTTGATATACCGTAAAACAAACCAAACCAATTTTTGCTGTTTAACTCCATATATTTATTACGCTATTTTATTCATTTATTTTAGAAGGGTTTATTTTAAAATTAATGTTATATTGCAAAAAATTGAAATTCCAAGAGTTGAGGGTTTAGATGTGGAAAAGAATATGGCAAATTCTTACTTTTAAATCTGTTTTCTTTGCTGCAGCGGTCTGTGGAAATATATGATCAGAAACCAGGCAAGGAAGCCGCGCTCAGTCTCTTAGGGAAAGCCTCACTGAGTCAATATGTGATAAAAAAAAATATAGATAGAAACTTCGAAAAACACAGCACAAACAAACACACATACACGTTAAAAGCATTTGTAAATTCTTAAACATTTAAACCTAAGAAATATTTTTAAAAAAATGTTCTCAAATATTGCTGCCTTTCCAGTAGAGAGAAGGGGAAAGGAGAGGGAAGGAGAGAGAGAAGAAGAGAGGGAAGGGGAAAAGAAAGAAGGGCAGAGAGAGAGGGAAGGGGAGAATGGGAGAGAGAGAAGGGGAGAGAAGGAGAGTGAAGGAGAGAGACGGGGAGAGAAAGAGTGAGAAGGAGCAAGAGAGAAGGAGAGATGTAGACATAGAGAAAAATAAAGAGGGAGATAAAGTCAAGAGAAGGAGAGAAAGAAGGGCAGAGAGAGAATGAGAGAGAGAAGGGAAACAGAGAAGTGGGAGAGAGAGAAGGGGAGAAGGGGGAGAGAAGGGGAGAGAGGAGAGGAGAAAGAAGTTGGAGAAGGAGAGAAATTGAGAGAGGAGAGAGAGAATGGGAAAGAGAGAAGGGGAGAGAGAGAAGAGGAGAGAGAGAAGGGGAGAGAGAGAAGTGGGGAGAGTGAAGGTGAAAGAGAGAGAGTGAAGAAGAGAGAAGGGAAATGAGGACCGAGAGAAGGGGAAAAAGAAGGGAGAGAGAGAAGGAGAGAGACGAGGGGAGAAAGAGAAAGGAAGTGCGATGTACCAGTGTGGTAATGGTTACAGGCTCGGAACGAGAAACTGGCGAACCGATTTTAAATTCCAGTCGAGTTCATTGTATTCGTACAAATACCCTCAAAAGTCTCCTGAGCCGACCAAGCATAGAAATGAATACAATATGGGAACCAATAATTGAGTACTGGTAAAAAACGGTTGCTGATGATATTAGGTTTATAATACCCAGAAATTCATACACAGATGCCCTCAAGAACACATGGCACAGTGGATAAAGGAGTTAGTTAGATCCAGTGACAGGTCCCAAAGAGTGTGAGTTCAATAAACGTGGAAAGGGGGATTAACAGGAGATAACTGATAACTGACATCCATTAAACATGGCACGTGGAACTAGAACAGTCCAACCCAGTGTAACAAAAGTTCGACATTCCAACCATCTGAAGAAGACCGGAGCGTTAAACGGCCTAAATGTTGTGATAAATATGATGACGGAGATGAGTATAAAAGTCCGAATAATGTAAATAATGTACGTAATACCTTATGTCAGAAATATAGACAGATACCCTCAGCACATTATGTGAACAATTTCCCTGTATTCAATTCTTCCGAAAAATATGGATGGTACTGTAAAATAGGGCAGATTGATTTTTTTCACGTTTTTAGAGAATCAGGATTGCACTCGAAGTACTGATAGAAAGTTAGATTCATAGATTTTACCAATTTTTGAGCATTTAGTTTTAAAGATTTTCTCACAAATGTACCTGATTACTACAGATTTTTACTTACAGGCAGATTTCAAAATTTTATTATTTTTTTAATTATTTCAAGAATGAATCCAAATAAGCAAAAACTGTGTAAAAACAGGTTACAAAAAACGCTACTCAATGAATAAAAATTGTTAGATCATGATTAATAAAAGCAAAAAATAGATAAAAGTGTATTATGAAATAGAAAAAGTCCGATAATTATTTTAAGACATTTTATGTTTATACATTCTTTTTATAGATACAAATATTTAAGTAAATGCTCTGTTTATAATAAACAGTATTAAACATTATTTAATGGCCTGAATGTCCGAGAAATTTTCATAGAAAATATTAGTCCTCCGACAGGAATCGAACCTGTATCCTATATGGAACCGTCATATAGCCTGACGTGCCTTTAACTGATTTGGCCACAGAGGAGCGTTCGGTTGGCAAGGTCGATTTTACTGTCTTTAAACTACAATCTTCCCTGATTCTCTCACATTCATATCTGATCATGGCGTATCTAAATGTAAACAAAAGACGTCACACATTATGAAATGGACAAAGTCCGACAATTATTTTAAGACATTTTTATGTTTATACATTCTTTTTTTTATGGATACAAATATTTAAGTAAATGCTCTATTTATAATAAACAGTATTAAACATTTACTGGCCTGAATTTCTATGAAAATTTTTCGGACATTCAGGCCGGTAAATGTTGTTTATTATAAATATAGCATTTACTTAAATATTTGTATCTATAAAAAGAATGAATAAACATAAAAATGTCTTAAAAATAAAAGTGTATATAACACCATAATACTGCTGGGCACAAATTATAAGACTAAATGTTTTAAATTTGCATTATTTATTTTAAAATCAAACTGAATCTATTGTACTCTATAATATATTACATCATAGCTAAATTGTTCAGCATAAGTTCCCTTCGAAATAAGTAAACGTTTTATTTGATGGCACAACGATTTAGTAATACTTATTGTATACCTTGCATTTTGTCCATATACAATTTGTAAAGCTCTATGCTTTTCGGCCAACTTTAACCTACAAAAATTTAAATTCAGTGTCAATCTGTATCTACTGTCCTCCTGATTACTCATTTAGTTCTCGCTCATACATCATCGCCGATCTGAGCCCCGAACTGCCATCAGTCTGGATGAACAGAGGTCCTCTCAAGGAATCACCGTGCCTTGAAAGACATTTGGGCCTCAAACTCACACCCGACCTCAAGTGAAACTCTTACATACGAATCATTGCTACGGATGCACGTAAAATGATCGGCTCCCTATACCGGTCCAGTAAGTACCTGACTCCTCCTGATATCCTTTATATTTACAAGAGCCAGATTAGACCAGAAATTAAGTACTGTTGATCTATTTGGGCGCGAACTGCCCAGACCTCACTCTATGGCATTAATAGAGTTCAAAAGCGTCTCCGAGCCGTTGTGGGTGACGAATTATTCTCCACCATTCAACATCTCACCCACAGGCGGGATGTGGCATGCCTCTGGCTGCTTTTGTGCAACTTCTACGGAAAGTGCTCGAACTACATTCCTTAGTTCCGCAGTTCTAAACTTCACGGCTGGGACGCGTTATGCCACTTACATAGTAGCAAACCACCCACATTTCCCCCGTATTCCATTGGTGAGAAGTAATTTCCACACGAGCAGCCTTTTCCCGTGAATCACTGCCCTGTGGAACCGACTCCCAAGAGGATGTTTCCTCGATCACTACAATCTTAACCTGTTCAAGGCTAGGGTTAACAGTTAACCTCCACTCCTATACACACAAATGGCCTCGAAGAGAAACCCTCTCTCTTGGATGGCTCCCGATAAGAAAACAAAAAGATTAGTAATGATTCTGTTTTGTAATTTTTCCACATCCAGTAACCCCTTATGTCTTAGTAGCTTTACTGTCTTGCATTGGGTGAAATCGATTAAAATAATCTAACTCAAGTTATCATGCATTATAATCAATCAGTTATGTGTCATGCGTGATACACGCTTAGGCGATCATGTATCTTTCGATAGATGACTGACAAGGCAGGGTTTTTTTCCCGCAGTAGGTTGCCATTTCTTTCTGCTGTTTACCAGTTGTCATCCAAGGCTATAGAACCGGTTTGTCCTGCTATTTACCTATAGCTGGTGGGAGAAGAGGGAGAAGATTTATACCTTTCCCAAAGGTCAGTCAGTCAGTTATGTGCCATGCGTGATACACGCTTAGGCGATCATGTTCCTGTTAATTTCGCATGCACGTTTTCCAACGTCATTCCCGGCATGCAATGCTTGTCCAAGCGAACAAAATAACATGACCCCGGCCGAAACATTGACTTGATTGTAACTACCGACATCTTCACTTGTTTTGTTATTCATAGTTTACCGTAGGGCTTCTCATGAGTAGTAGTAGTAGTAGTAGTAGTCGTAGTAATAGTAGTAGTAGCAGCAATCATATTAGTAAAATGAAAATGGTGACTGAATGAGGCATGTTAAAATAATGTTAGCATTTATAAGTGTGTATATACTATTAGTGTCAAATTAACAATACTGCTAGTACTACTACCGATTATATTACTATCAATAGTACTACTAATAATAATAACTTGAAGTAGTCGAAATATATCACGTTTTTCCTGTTTGAATTTTCTGAAGCATTGTAAATCTTAAGTTAATGATTAAATAAACCCATTGCAAGTTCCATGTCTATAAAATACCGATGGAAATTCCTTTAATGCATCGTTAAATATTCGAGTTTAACACCTTTTAAAAAATCTTGCACTGACAATCAGTCAGTTATGTGCCATGCGTGATACCCGCTTAGGCGATCATGTATCTTTCTATACATGACTGACGAGGCAGATTTTTTTCGCATTAGGTTGACATTTCTTTCTGCGATAGACTAGTTACCACCCTAGGCTACAGAATCCGGTCTGTCCTGCTTTTTACCCATAGCTGGGAGAAGAGGATCCATACCTTTCCCAAGGGTATAAGCATGTCAGTCAATCAGTTATGTGCCATGCGTGATACACTCTTAAGCGATCATGTATCTTTCGATACATGACTGACGAGACGGATTTTCTTCCCGCAGTAGGTTGTCATTTCTTTCTGCGGTAGACTGCTTGCCATCCAAGGTTATAGAACCCAGTCTGTTCTGCTATTTACCCATAGCTGGAGACAGAAGAAGAGGACTCATACCTTTCCTAAAGGTATTTGCACGTGAGTGAATGCAATGGAATCGACTGGAATTCGAACTCGGTATTATAATATTATACATTATCGTCGTCGTCGTTGACGGAACTCGTTGCCCATTGCTCATAAATAGTTCCTTCTCTGTGGAATGAGTCCTATGTTGAATCTGAAGTGACGTCCACTGTCACCACAATGGTAGGGTTTAGGGGATGGAGATCTCTGTCTTTTCGGGGAGGGGGATCTCTTCGTCTCTTATGTAAGGATGTTGGTTTTTCGTGGACTGCTCTTCTCTCATTGGTCCCTTCTGCGGATTCAGTCTCCTAATTGACCGGATCGATTTCTATTCTCGGCAAGATGTTTCTAAGCTGATCCTTGAATCGACGACGTGGGTCCAAGTGTGAGAAGAAGAAAAGTCTTTGAGCATGAAAGCTTTGGCTGCAAATTGTTTCAGGTGGTCCATGGGATCACCACTCAATGGCGCACACGCACTTCAGCTGACACCACCCGCTGCGACAAAACCAGGTCTTGACATGCAGGTACATGATGACAGCTTGCATCAGGCTGTGATTTACTAAGACGTCTTCGAAAATTTAATACTTCGTCGTCTGATATTAAAAAGATCTTGCCTTCAATTTTTTTAGTTATGGCCGGCAGCATGTTCTCTATGCAACTCCCTATCTGACTACTAAAGTTTTGTTTGTTAGTTTGTTTTGTTTTAGACATATCAACCTCAATGGGTTATTTAATGCCGACAAGATTTTTATTGCTGGTAATATTTTTTTCAAAAATGTATTGGTGGTAATATTTTTCTTTTTCAAAAATGTACTGCTGGTAGTATTTTTTCCAAAAAAGTATTGCTGGTATTAAAACCCATTTTTATACTTTCATAGTGTTTTGACCCCTTTTTGGGGGTAACTATTTGCCCATCACGGGACCCTGAGGTGCTACCACTCCGAGTTAGAGTGGACCTGGAAATACTAGCAATTCAGAGATGGTCCCATGCTCCTCAAAACTTGATCCTAGGTCTTGCTCTCTTACTCATGAGGCGGATGTAGTTTATCGTCATGCCCAGGACGCGGATGTAATTTATCGTCATATTCAGGACGCGGATGTAATTTATCGTCATGCTCAGGACGCAGATGTAATTTATCGTCATATTCAGGACGCGGGTGTAGTTTATCATCATGCCCAGGACGCGGATGTAGTTTATCGTCTTACTCAGGACGCGGGTGTAGTTTATCCTCGTGCCCAGGACGCGGATGTAGTTTATCGTCTTACCCAGGACGGATTAAGTTTTGTATAAAAATTCTTCATTTAATCCCGAGAGTATGTAAGGAAATGTTTCTGTCAATTTATGAAAACGTTATAGTGATTTTCTAAAAGTAACCTAAATGTGGCACAAGGCTAAAGTATAGGACACCAACGAGGATCGAACGCCCTACTCAATCGTAATAAATCTAGCAAAACGAACTTTCTAATTATTACACCACATCGATATGCCCAACTCACGTTATTATAATTTCCTCAGTTTCATCGTTTCTCGTTACATTTGTGGTAAATTTGCTTTTTAACGCCCGCGCAGAATACCTCTTAAAATTTTCCCAAATCGTCATAATTCCATGTAAATGTACATGCTGGACTCGAATTAAAATTTTAACTGTGAAGAAAGCTACCCTTTTGGAGTTATCGACAATAAAAAATCGGACTTCTTGTTGGTCATTCCTCCCCTATTACTGTCATAATGTTCACTGATTCACTGCGTAATACTTCCGTCGGCGTAATCAGAAATTTTAGCCTATTTACTTCTTTTACAGACTTTCCGTGCAGAAAATCACTACGCACTACCGTAAAGAAATGTAATTTTCTTTATCATTTTTTTTTTTTTTTTTTTTTGGTAAGTGTAGTTTTATTTAATTTGTTTTTTTTTAAGTTTTCTGTTATAAATAAAACTACACTTATCAAAAAAAAATTGCTTTATGATAATGCGTAGTGATTTCAAAAAGAGATATAGCTGTACAAGAAGTAAATAGGCCAAAATTTATGATTGTGCCACCGGAAATCGTGAATAATATTCGGGACAGAAAGTATTAAAACAATGCCTGTAATAGAGGACGAATTACAAACAAGAAGTCCGATATTTTCTTGTCGATAACTCCAAAACGGTAGGTTTCTTTCTAATTTAATTGTTATGTCGAATTCAGTATGTACATTTACACGGAATTATGAGGATTTGGGTAAATTTTAAGAGGTATTTAGCGCGGGCGTTAAAAAGCAAATTTACCATTCTTGTTTGTTTTTTTTTTTTTTTTTTTTCAGTTATTTTTTTTTTTTAATGAATCAGTCAGTCAGTTATGTGCCATACGCGTTACATGCTTAGGCGACCATGCATCTTTCGATACATGACTGACGAGGCAGATTTTTTTCCCGCAGTAGGTGGCCATTTCTTTCTTTACAGTTGACATCCAACGCTATAGAACTTGCTTTGTCCTGCTATTTATCCATAGCTGGGAGAGAGAAAATGATTCACACATTTCTCAAGGGTATTATCACGTAAATGAATCTAATGGATTCGACTGGAATTCGTAGACCAGTTTGCCATCAAATAGAAGCCGGTCTGTCCTGATATTTATCCATAGAAGAAGGGGATCTATTCCCAAGGGTATTGGCACGTAAATGAATGTAATGGTTTCGACAGGAATTCGAACTCGGCTCCTTGATTCCTCAATCCGAGCCACTATCTATTACTCCACTCTGTCACCTCCTTTAATGAACAGTTCTCTTCACAAACCACTTTTGTTTACCGCCTTTTATTTCTATATCTCTCCCACTTTCTCTCTCTATCTACATCCCTCACACAGTCTCTCCCTATCTCTATCCTTCCCCACTTTCTCTCTCTCTCTCTAACACACAGACACAGACCCGCATTTACATACTGAACTGCTTGTATGCATGCCTGAATGTATGTAGGCACTTTTCACGATGGACAATCTGACCAGCGGGGCATTCTATTGTGAACAAATATGGCGGCGTAATTAACTATCGCGGGCCGTAAAAATAAAACAATCCCAAGCACTCTATTGTTTTGGGGATTCAACGAAACGTAAGGAAGGGAGCAGTTACCTCCCTTTTTTTTTTTTCTTTTTCTTTTCTGTTCTTTCCTCAAGAAATATTAGGCGAAGAAAAATTACGGCGAAATGAAATTAAGAAGCGCTCAAAACAAGATTTTAGTCAGTGAGGCGAACGAGATGAAGAAGAGAATAGAAAAAGGACCCATAACAAATTAGAATAGAAAATTCGGGAAAGAAAACAACAAAGGAAATGGAGGAGTCAGAGAGAAAAGGGAAAGATGTTTCTAGAAGCTTTGAAAAAAAAAATCTGATATTTGGCTATTGAGGGAGTGAATATGGCGAATAGCTTTTCTGCACCTCCCTTGTAAACAGGAGAGAGGATGAAGATGGGTGGCAGGATTAAAAAATATTTATATTGGAAACAGAAAATGGGAGAATATTTCAAAGAGGAGAAAAGACAAAAAATCAAGATCTCTTCAGGAAGAATATTTTGGAAAGTCACGTGGAAAAGGAGAGAAAGTTGAAAGGGGGAGTGACAAATATACAGTTTAAAAAGGCACTTGCTGAAGAAGAAGAAGAAGAAGAAGGAGGAGGAGGAGGAAGAGGGGGAGGAAGAAAAAAGAAGACGTGGAAAAGGAGAGAAATTTGAAAGGGGGTTGTGACAGAGAAAATATACAGTTTAAAAAGGCACTTGCTGAAGAAGAAGAAGAAGAAGAAGAAGAAGAAGAAGAAGAAGAAGAGGAGGAGGAGGAGGAGGAAGAAAAAGGAAGAAGAAAAATAAGAAAAAGTAGGAAGAGGAGGAGGAAATAAGGAAGAGGAGAGGAAGAAGATGAAGTAGGAGGAGTAGGGAAAAAGAAAAGGTAGAAGAAGAAGGAGGAGGAAGAAAATGGAGGAAGAAGATGGAGGAGGAGAAAGGAAGGAGAAAAGGGAAGAGGAGGAGGAAGAAGAGAAAGGGAGGAAGAAAATGAAATAGGAGAGGAAGAAGAAAAAGGAGGAAGAAGAGGAGGAGGAGGAAGAGGAGAAGAAGAAAAGTAGCAGAACCTGGAAATAAATAGAGAAAACGCAACGTAGGTAAAAACCAGAGCTCATCACCACAATAAGAATTAAAGAACAAGACAATACGCAATTTTTAAACATCCCAATAGCAAAATGAATTCATTAGATAAATTTTATTCAGAAGTAAGAAATTCATTTTTTGTTTTACTCGCGAGAGATGTTCTTTGAATTTACAACTAATGTGGATTTACACAGAAAGCGTTATTTTTGTAACTAGATGTTATTATTATTATTATTATTATTATTATTATTATTTCTTTCCTTTTTTGTTCTTTGTAAAGGTTAAATATTATTTCATCTCTGTTGTTTCTATTAATACTTTGGAAGAAATACTTAATTATCATATCCAGCAATGATACCCATCGTTTTCTGGTTAAAATCATTTCAGTTTAGTCCACTGCGTTTCCGTGGGAGGTGGGGGGGCGCCTGCTGTAAAATTGTGCTAACAAACTTGTAATTAAAGCAGTTCGATACGATTAATCATACTCCATAAATCGTCTTTTATTCGATTATAATTTAGATTTGTTCCATTCTGAAAATATAGTATCAAAAATGTAAACTTCTCTTCTTTTCCTTTGCCTAATTTTAACTCTTTGCTCCAAAGCCGTGATCTAAATGACAAGGTCGTTACCACTTCGTGAGCAGAAAAAAAAACTTTATTTTAATAACTCTGAAATTTACTTATAAACATCGTCAACAAAACAAACCTTTATATGTAAAGGTCTCAAATGACCAGACTGGATAATGAATAAGAAAATGTTTTTAATCATTAATTTCTAAATCTGCATAATTAATATCCATCTTCTACCTATTTACGCATGTGTGTGTATTGATTATATTAAGGCATCTAATTTACCAAATAATGTATCCGTCAATTTATCGATAGATATATACACAGATATAGGGGTATAGAGAAAGAGCAAGAGAGAGAGAGAGAAAGAGGGAGAGAAAGCAAGAGGGCGAGAGAGAGAGAAAGAGGAAGAGGGAGAGAGAGCAAGAGAGAGAGAAAGAGAGAGAGAGAAAGAGGAAGAGGGAAGAGAGAGTGCAAGGGAGAAAGAGAGAGAGAGAGAAAGAGAGAGAAGTACATGATTACTTAAACGACGAAGAGGACAATGTCGAAATCCATTTATAGTTTGTCCAGTTTAGTTTACTCCTTAAGCAAGAAACGCTAAGTTGGGCAAATATATAACACACATGGCGATAGACGTAAATAGTAAAAACTGTATTTATTATGCGGTTCCTATGATTAAACGTGAACCCGAGGTATTACCCCTCCTTCGTGTGGGAGCCAGGTGCCCCAGACGTCCCCAAAAGAGTAACTCCCGATGGGGATTTTTGCGATTTTTGACACCTGGTCCACGTACGCGTGGGGGTCAACAGTAAACTCGATTTTGTGTCACATTTTGTATGAGTTGGCCGTAAAAAGAAATCCAAAGCTGCATTTATTTGATGTTGCATTTATTTTTAATTAATGTTCACAGATTCAAGCGGGCGCGCTCGCACGCTAAATTTGGGTTTTATATATTAGATTTATTTTCTTTTTTATTGGGATTGTAAATTCATTTAAGGCTGTTTTTAACCATAAACTATTCTAAGATAGAAAGAACAAAAAAAAACTGACAGTGTAATGCAATAAGGAATCAAAAGCGAAAGAAAGCCGAAAGAAATGTTCTTGATAGGCAACAAAATATAATATACAAAGTGACATATAAGCAGATTATATAGCATAAAAAATGTTCAAGATTGGTTAAAGGTAGACCAGCATCTAAGAATGCAAAGAAAGAAATGTGATCAAATAATGGAAGGAAGTTAAGGAATCGTTTGAGGAAGAGTTACGTGAGTAAACCTGAACAGATCGTTCTAGAAAGAGCCGAAACGGATAGATAGATAGATAGATAGATAGATAGATGTACGGCTAATTTTCTTTTGAAATTACATTTCTCCCTTTAGTTCTTGACCATAAAACTAAGAACGGTTTCGTGTGTTTCTTGGGGTTAGTACGACTTCATTTTCGTCGACTAACTTAATCAAATTGTTTACGACGATCGAACCATTAAGATCTCGCCATCGCGGCTTCCAGACCTGTGTCATAGTTTGTTTTTTTTGGTTGCCTTTTTTTCTTTCCTCTATCATTGTTCGGTCATTTTCTCCGCCTTTTCCCCCACCCCGCCTTTTTCATCTCGCCTTTTTCCTCGCGCCTTTTTTCCCCGTCTAATAAAAATCAGTACAAAGCGATAGTCTACAAGACGATTGGTTGATCCACGGCAACGAGTTCTATTTTTATTTGTTTTGGTTTTTGCAGATTTTTCTGCCTTTTAGTGTTGGGGGCTTAGTTTGGAAGATATTTTCTTTAGAGGGCTACAATAATTTAACGTACTTTGTGGACAAACTATAAATGGATTTCGACATTGGCCTCTTCGTCGTTTAAGTAATCATGTCCTTCTCTCACTCTCACTCTCTCTCTCTCTCTCCCTTTCTCTCTTGCTCACTCTCTCTTGCTCTCTCTCCCTCTTCCTCTCTCTCTCTCTCTCTCTCTCTCTTGCTCTTTCTCCATACCCCTATATCTGTGTATATATCTATCTATCGCTAAATTGACGGATACATTATTTGGTAAATTAGATACCTTAATATAATCAATACACACACATGCGTAAATAGGTAGAAAGATGGGTATTAATTATGCAGTTGTGTCGTGTAGAGATATAATCGTCAGCTGATATCTTGTTATGGACAACTGCGGGATGTTACAGAATTCGTTTTGACAACAATCGTCTTGACAAAGAAGGTCAGCTGATTGAAGCAGACCTCACAAGATACATATCAAACGACCCTAATATAAAAAGTCAGTTGAGTGGGGCGGAATTGATGAATTACTTTTTTAGACGAAAGCTGACCGAACAAAGAAGGTTGGTTCTTGATAAGGCAGTCCCTAGGCATTTTAAGACTGAGGAACGCCCGCTGGACAAAGCGAAAAGTAGGCACACGTCGGTCAGCCGGTTCGCCTCCTCATCTCGCCTCACTTTTCCTCGTTCACCTACAGCCGGCCTTTACGAGAAGGTTGCAACAGAATAACATTAGGCGACTGCTATAAGCTCGTTTCATGGTTTTATTTCGTGGGTAACGATCCGACCAAAGAATTTTTTTCCTAGTATTACGCCACAAGCATTCCAATGGAAGAAGGTGCACTCTCCGAATGGACCTGATGTATGGTCTGAGCTACAATGGTAGAATTGAAAGGTTCCTGATCCAACCAACAAGCTGATAACCAAGATCCATTGAAAATGACATTCAATCCCATAGATCCACGCAGCAGTTCAGCACAAATGGCATATCGTTTCTCCAGTTAACCTTCCCAAAAAGATATTGTTCTCTCTCCTTAATAATGTTTTTTTTTCATAGTCTCTAATACTCAGTAATCCTTGCATTTTAGTAGCTTTATTGCCTTGCTTAGGGTGAAATGATTAAAATTTGCTGCTGCCATCAGATTCGAATAATTCGAAAATTTTCCGACTTTCAAACCTCTTTTGAATTTTTGGAACACAAAATATCATTGAAGAAGTAATATGTAGAAATGAAATATGGCAAGGTTAGGTAAACTTGGGTCGGTGAGTTCCATGCGACCTCTCTGATGATCTAATACGGCCCGCAAGAGCAAAACAAACTTTTCTTTTTTGAGTTTATTAAAAAAAATTGATATTTTTTGTTACATGTTGCGCAAAAGTGTAATCTATTCCAAACAGGAAAAAAGAAAGAGTTAACGGAAACCATATATATTTAATATTTATTTATTTTAATCAATTCACCCCAAGCAAGGCGATAAATCCACTAAGGCGCAACGGGTTACTGAGAGTGAAAGACAAAGAGAAGGCTTTAGTGAGGAGAAAAGACAATAAGGCAGACGATAGCGATTGACGATGGATTTGGGCTTTTGAAGATCGTAGAGGACAAGGAAGTAAGAAAAGAGAGAAGTGCGAGAAGGAAAACTTAGAACAGAACTTCCGTCCTGGTTATGACAATAAACTGCCTCCGCGTCCTGGGTATGACGATAAACTACGTCCAACAGCAAGGCCTCTGATCAGGAGGTTCTGAGGAGCGTGAAACAACCTCTCAATTTCTGGTGTTCCCAGGTCCACCCTGACCCGGGTTGGTAGCACCTGTTAGGGTCCCAGATATGGGCAAATAGTTGACACCCACAACCTGACTCAAAACACTATGAAAGTGTAAAAATAGATTTTAATACCAGAAATACTTTAAAAAAAAATTAGTATCGGCAATAAATATTTGAAAAAAGAAAACATTACCAGATATAAAGATCTTATCAGCATTAAATAACCCATTGAGGTTAATATGCCACAAAACAAAACAAACCAAACTATACATTTTTGAAAAAAAATTATTACCAGATATACATTTCTGAAAAAATTACTAGCTATATATTTTTGAAAAAAAAAGGAAATTTTGTCGGCATTAAATAACCCATTGTGGTTGATATGCCGTAAAACAAAACAAAAAACAAAACAAAACAAAAAATAGAACAGAACTTACTATTGCATCTAGGAAGTTCAACAGTAAGACTATGAGACTTAGTTGCCAATTTAGTAGAAAGGCTTAAATTCACGCGGTCAACGTACCATATAGCAGAGCTCATGAGGACAAATGTCACGAAAGAATTGCTAGAAAAAACAGGGTGCAACAACGTCACTGCCATGAGAAAGTGATTGAGGCCGAGATGCCAGGTGAAGACTGATAACTTACAGACACTTAGGATTTTGTCGACAGTCTTTAGCTATATTGTAGGAGCTTCAGACCAGATATGCCAGCAACATTCCATGTATGAACGAATTGTATATATATATATATATATATATATATATATATATATATATTCATACATGTTTCCTTAAATAATATGGACAAGTGTTGTCTATCTATTTTATGTAAATTCTTTTCATAACGTCTGATAAGCTTAATAACATTATCATTAAACGAAGAAAGAAATTCACAATATTGATCCATATTTTTTAATCCAATCTAAGCTTTCGGCTTACATAAGCCATTATCAAAGATGACAATTACAATACAATATATTAAGCAATATACGGACAAGACAGTGATGATAGTCTCTGATTGTTTACATGGATGATTTCCAAGCAACGATAAACACGTGCATATAAGACGCTGGAAGCGAAAATCGCACCGCAGCTCATGACGTCACACATGACCACGCGAGAGTGAATTCGAGAAGTATTAAGTATGGGAAACCGTTGGTATTAACCAATGGCTTTTTTTACCAATTATAGACATTTAAGAATATTTGTATATATATATATATATATATATATATATATATATATATATATATATATATAATACATAAAAAGGTTAATGGTCAGAGATGAATCAGACAAGGAAAACAGTAATATTAAAAATTGCCCAATACAAGTGTGAAAAATAAATAAAATAAAAGTAAAAATAACATGTAGAATGTTTAACTTTAAAAATTGGGATGCCTGTTGAATCCGCAACCTTGATTTCAACCTTACGGTATCCTCAGGCGTTTTTTATCAAAAGGCTTCTTAACGCTTCATTTCTTAAAAACAAAAAACTAATGAACGCTGTTATATTATTTTAAAAAATAAACACACGACGTTGGGTGTAATATAAAAGGCGGAGGAGGATGTGGACGAAGAAGAAGAAGAAGAAGAAGAAGAAGAAGAAGAAGAAGAAGAAGAAGAAAAAGAAGGGTATTGTAAATATATCAGTGGGGGTTAATTAAAACGGACATTTCTTTTTTATCTAGCCTTATATGTGCTTAAGAGGAATTTTCTCATATGTAAGCAAGGACTCAAGATTTCTGATTCAAAAAGTTCTTTGGATCCGGAAATGTAATAATTGCTAATTTTCCTGTTAACAAAAGTCGCAGATATTGTTGTGGTTGCTATAAATCTGTGCTTTTTTTTTAATTTTCCACCTTACAATCAGATCCCTGCAGTTTTTTTTTCTTTTAATTTCCACATATGGTCAGCTATTTTGGTAGATTTACTAGCTTCAATGGCGACCTATGATTTACCATCTATGTTTAAAACTACCTTCGTACACCCTATGTACGTTTTATTTTGAACATTAATATCTGTTACTTCTGCTTTATAAATTATAGCTTTTGTTTCACAAGATCCATCTAATGGACATCTATCTTTATTTCTACAGTTGCATAAATTACTACTGTTAACTATATTTTACTACGCGTTAGTTTTGAAATTTCTGGCGTTTTTCTATTTATTATTTTTTCTAAATTAATAGCGCAGCTATAGCTTAATCTAATTGTGTTTTTATTGAATATCTTCTGTAATTCTGAATTTTTGGGAAAGTTTTTAATAATGAACTTGAAAAATAATTTCCCTATTTTAAGTTAAAGGGAGTGATAAACCAAATAATATTACTTCATATCTTGTTTAATTTGAGGATTAAATTCCGGTTTGGCTTTGTGAGCCTCTACCTTTAAGTCCTTCTCATATTCTGTCTTTTTATTCCCAAAAATTATTCTACTGAAAGACATTGTGGATAACGTTGACACTATTCATTTAGGGCTTACGGTCAAATCACGCTGAAACACCGGTTCTCGTTCGATCACCGAAGTTAAGCATCGTAGAGCCAGGTCAGTACTTAGATGGGGGACCGCTTGGGAACACCTGGTACTGTAAGCCCCCAAAGTCCAACCCTTACCTCACAGTCGGTGGTGGGGTAAACGGTAGTGTCAGAGCTATGCCGCCCGGAACTTCGTTCCTGGTAGGGCCACCCAAGGCGGACAGGTCTGACACACACGCCGGCTAACAAGGGCTCTGGTGAAAATCCAAGGAGCGTCTGTATCGGTAACCGGCGGCTTCTGGTCGTTCCTGTCTCTGCGTCTGCGGGAATCCCGCGGC